GGGGGGGGGGGAACCACAGTCTCCATAAGGACAGCCTCTCTTTCCCCATGTGCCATTCCAGGCACCTACTGGGACTTGGCAGGGCCAAGGGCACTGAGTACAGGAAGCAACCCCCACGTCACCCCACCCTCTCCTCCACACCAACCACCCAGGGCTTTTGGCCCACCCCCTTCCCCATGGCTGCCTCACATCAGATGTCGTCCAAGAAAGCATCCTTGGCCCCACCTCGAGTTTCCCTGAAAGGGTGCTTTGAGCTGAGCACATCAGAACACCCATGAGATTCCGGAGAGAAATGACAAGGCCAGGGCCAGGGGAGGGCCCAGAGGCTCCCCCCTCCTCTGGGTGGCTGAGCAGACCCCCGGCTGGCCAGGCAGCTCAGGGGCAGCTGGGGCCTGAACTTGGCTCCGGGCCCATACTTCCCAGCTCATCCCCAGCCAGAGCCTGTTGCTGAGGGCTGCAGATGCTGCTCCGCCCTAGAGACACGGCAGGGACGCCTGGGGCCAGGGCCACATGTGTCCAGCCAATCATGGCCAGTGGACTGTGCACCCACCTCCTCTACTGTGAGCTGCCCACACCGGTGGGCCCTGCAGTGTATCCACCCCGAGTGGACAGGAAAGAGACCACCTCCAGACGGGGGGTGTCACCAGACTTCTTCAGATGGGAAGCGGAGGGTCACAGCAGGACTGCCTGGGTGTGGATGAGGCAGGGCAGAAAAATGGGGCTGGCTAGGGGACAGCTTGGGGTGACCATCCAACACTTGTGAGAGATAACCGGTGACACAATGACTGCTGGGGCAAACTCCCCAAGCCATCCCCAACATTTGCCCGGAGTCAGGAGGCCTTCCTTCCAGGGCCCTGACGTGAGGACACTCAAGCTCCTAACAGGGACAGAAATGTGCCAGTCAGCTCTTTCCTGCACAGGAGGGGAAAAGCCAGACTTTTGAGGACAGTGTCTAATAGGAAATCCTAAGAACAAATAGAAAAAATGAACCACAAAGAGAATAGAGAAAATGACGGAAACAAAAGGTTCCCCCTCCCCCCAAACCCACTTTATTCCTAAAATAGAACAAGATGCTCTGAAAAAACAACAGAGTCACTCAGACAACAATAGAGATGCATGTAAATTTAAAACAGGATTGCCGACATTGAAAAGGCCAGCAGCCAAGGCCAGCCCGCTCCAGCTCCATGGGGCCCCCCTGGGACTCCCGTGGGAAACCACCCTCTGCGCCGACGCTCTCCCTAGCCCAGCGGCCAAGCCTGAGGTCAGAGGAAGATGCTCTCAGGTCCGGGAGGGGTCACAATCTCTTCTTCCACAGACCACTCCCAAATGTCATGGCTAAAACAAATACAGTTTAGCCCAAGGGCTTGGCCAGTTGGCTGCCCTCTGAGGTCATTCTTCGGGGGTCTCCCTGGGCTCCCAGGTAAGATGACAGAAACCTCTCCCCTGATGACCACGATGCTACAGCAAGGCATCCCCCAGGCCAGAGGGTCCCCAGAGCAGCAAGAGAGAGGTCAAGGCCCCACACACAAGCATTCACCTGCCAACATGTTGTTAAGAGCCCGTTGGCCCAAGTGATTCCCAGGCTGGCCCGGAGTCCAGGGTGAAGAGGGCAGAGGCGCATGGCAGAGGCGCAAAAGCCCAGGAGAGGAGGGATTTGTGGCCGTTTCTACTGCACGGGGACTCAAGTTTCCTCTGATCCACCTTCTTGAGGATGTTAGAGGATACACTTCCACGAAACCAGGGAGGGGAATGAGAAAGAGGAGGTTGTGGAAACGGGGTGGGGGAGGTGCGGTACGCAGATGGTAGGAAGGAACCTTGGAATGAAGAGAGAGCCAGCCAGGGACCCGAACCTGGCGCCTCCACTGGACGCGCGCTCCACAGTGGGTAAAAGGCCCCTGAGCTCTGGCCAGTGTGGTCTGGCGGTTAAAGCATCGGCCTCGGACCAAAGGGTCGCAGGTTTGATTTCTGGTCAAGGGCGCGTATCTGGGTTGCAGGTTCGATCCCTGACCCCGGTAGGGGCACGTGTGGGAGGCAACCAATGGATCTCCCTCTCTCTCCCTCTCTCCCTCCCACTCTCTCTAAAAATCAACCAAAGAATATATATATATATATATACACACACACACACACACATATATATATATGCATAATCTATGGACACAGACAATAGTACAGTGAAGGGCTGGTGGAGGGGTCAATGGGGGGAAAAGGGGGACATCTGTAACACTTTTTTTTTTTTAAATATATCTTTATTGATTTCAGAGAGAGGAGGGAGAGGGAAAGAGAGAGAGAAACATCAATGATGAGAGAGTCATTGATGGGCTGCCTCCTGCACGCCCCCTGCTGGGGATCGAGCCCCAAACCCCGGCATGTGCCCTGACCAGGAATCGAACCACCATCTCCTGGGTCGACGCTCAACCTCTGAGCCACGCGGGCTGCGCTGTAATACTTTCAACAATAAAGATAAATACATTAAAAAAGAAATCAGTGGAAAAAATATCCTTGGGTGAAGATTAACAGAAAAAAGAAAAGAAAAAAAAGGAAAGG